AACATCCTGGAGGAAAGCCTCAAAACCTTTTTCATCACTCTCTCTTAATGTATAAGACTGTGAAAGAACCAAATTTGCTTGGGCCTATTCGAAGTCATTTTAATTAATTGTAATATAGAAATTGGATAAGCAAGATAATAAAAGTAATAAAAGTAATAATGGTAAGAGCTTAATTTATATACCCTTCTATCTTCTTCATAATTTGATTTAAATTCACTAAGCTTTCCAAGTTCTTCATGAATGTGTAAACATTGATATAATGGCTTAAAATCTATTTGTACCTCTTTATTATTTATAATGTTGACTTTACATGAGTAATATTTTTATCGGTGTTAGTAGTATTAAATAAAAAGTAATGAAAGATAGAATATTAAACGTACACTCATTTTCTTCATTCATTACAATTTCAATTGGAGAACTGACGGGAACGGAACGCAAATCAGGATTTTGGGATACTTTAGCCTTCCATCGCTCTTGACGAATTTTCATTTGCTCCATAGATATTTTACCAACCTGCCGCGTTACTTGTCGAACACTAATAAACAGTAGAAGTATTAATATTGAACCAAGTAAATTTTAAATTAAAAGTCCTTATTCACACACCGAAATAGCCATTCTTTCATCTCTTTAGTGACGGCATCTTTAACACTATTTTGCATGACAGGAATAGATTCATCTATTGGTAGAATGATTAAGATAAATTGAATTGAATGAATTGTAGATATTATTGTATTTTAATAATAGTAAAATTTTAACATACGCATATGTTTGGCAAATTCATATTGAATAACTTTTCGTAAATGCACGGTCTGTAATTCTTCTAATGTCTACGTGAAATAATAATATTATTATCAAAATTATAAATAAAATAATAAATACTGTAATAAACTATTCGAAAGTAGTTAATAAGAACCTTCTAAAAAGTATAATCTTACCCTTAAAGCCGAATAATATTTTCGCTCTTCAACTAGATAATTAACTCGATTGGCCATATCTAGCACGTGTAAACATAATTGTAAAGTCTCTACTGCTTCATCAATATTTTTCTGAGTTTTACGCGTTTGTACAAGCTCCTTTTTCTATAAATAATAGAATGGGTTAAAAAAATAATCATTTGTTTCAAAAATTATTAATAATAGAACTTACCTTTGCAGCAACTTTTTTTCCAGATTTTTGAACATCATAATTAAGATCGATGATTTTATTTTTCAGATTAACAGTTCCTTGTCTAACTTTTAATAGTTGATCCACAGAGTGTACAAATTCCTACACAAAATATAAATAAAATAAAAAAAATTTAAAAACTACTCGTGAGCTAAATATAAATAAATATTCTGCGTAGAGGTACCCACACTGTATTTATGATTTCACACCTGATAATTACTATTACACATCCGCTCTATCTCTCCTTCTTTCTTTCTCACAAAAGTAGATAATTGCTCTAGGAAAGCTTCTTGTCGTCCTGTATCATAAATGGATTTTATGATCGGTCCGAGTTGTTCAACATTTTCGTTCTCTGAATTTAACTCGGCAGACAGAACGAGTGAATGTAACTGCTGTTGATTATCAGACATTATTAATTCAGAAATAGCGCGAAAATATTAGAGTTTTACATATCGCTGATGATATAGAATAACATCTTTTTGATTGGTTAATTATTATAGTTTAGTGAAAATGTAACATTTCACACTGATAATATATTTAAGAATTCCGAAGCCAGAGGGTAGAGGTCTGAAATTCAACTTCAACTTCGGGTTAAACCGGTTTAAATAGATAATCGTTTTGTAATGTAGCCCTCCGACAAACCGGTTTTTAAATTAGCATTCGGTTTTATTTTCGAAATTACGTGTTAATAACAAATATATCCAATGTAACAAACAAGTAATTTCACGATTCGAATTAAATTCGGTTTAAGCCAATCCGGTTTAGCAGACCTCTAGCCAGAGGTACTTACTGTAAATGGCAAATTTTCTATCATTTATTATACGTACAATATAAAGACATATATGTGATAGTATGATTTATTGAAAAAATATCAAAGTAAATTCTTTAAAAGATACACGTTTAAAGCCCAAAGAACTTTAGATAAATGATCTTGAAGAAACATTAGTACTATATCATTATAATCATTAAATAAATCAAGATTTTTATCCAGAATGATACCTTTGAGGAAATGTTGCCCGATATACCGGTACAGGTCTAAAAAAGACTATATCCAGCATTGTAGTGGCTTTAAAATCATCTCTATCATCTCCTTCGAACAACGGGTAACACCATGCTATAAAAATACCTGGTTTTCTCTCTCTTTTTTTTTTTTTTATATATATATATATAACTCCGAACTAGGTCAAACACATGTCAAGGGAAGACCATCCCAAATTAAGAAATTATTAGTTTTAGAAAGTTCAGGCTGAACTACTGCAAATTTATATATATATAAACCAATAAGCATGGACTAAATTTCTGACATACCCCTTATTGCTATTAAACCAATAAGTAAAATATTTAGTCATATTACAGTTGGCTACTGCATATAATACCCCTCAAAAAATAATATCTCCATAGGATTATTCACTCTCACCATCATCTAAATTAATTCATAAATAACACCGAAATATAGGCATTTTATACAATATATTCCAAATATACTGAATAATCAATTCTTCACCCGTTGTACTATATTTATTATATTTAAAACCGGTGGTAAACGAAACGGTATGTTGCAATGACCATAATTGGGTTTTCAGAATTTAAATCAAATTCGCGCAATTTTTTTTTTCACACACAATTATGGTAAAAATAAAATGCAACATTGTAACACTAATTTCAGATATAGCGCACTAAATACAAATTTCTATTTCATTCTTGTTGGCACATAACAGAGATTTCGTTCGAAACCGCTGAATAACAAGAATGATTATATAGGATATAATCTTATGACCTTTAATATATATATTTTTTTATTAAATTTACATTAGGTTTTTTTCCTTAATAAAAATATCTGTTATCTTAGTTACAAAAGAATTTTTTGAGGGTGGTTCTTTTCATTTTTTTTTTTCAGGATAACTTTTTTTTATACAACTTATCATAATATGAAATTTTGTTATTTCTCACCGCCTTATAAGTCCGTAATACTTTTTTTATACGCCTTTTTCATATTGGTTGTGAATATTAAGGTTTTTAGTCAAGACTGTGGATATTCTTTTTCACTACCACAAACAATTGTCGGATATTATCCTGCTTATAAAAATAATACAAAACCGGATTTTAATATTAGTTTAATTACTCGTTTAAACTATATTGGTATGCGAAATTTAAAGACTTTTAATCATCGTCATAAATCAAATTTAACGAATATTATTTGGTTTTAATTCTTGTAGCATTTGGTCCAACTGATCTTATTAATGGTACTTTGCCATCTCAAGTGTTTCAGAATAAATTCTCAAACTTTAGTCAATTGAGACCCTATTTTAATAATCTTGAAGTAAATAATAATGTATATAATTTTAAGATTTTATTATAAACTTTGCTAATTTACTATTTTATAGTTGATTCTTTCAGTCTTATTACCTGTTGATAATGACAATTTATCAAAACTCCCTCCGTTTGCAAATTTTTCAAGTGGACAACAGTACAATTCGTCGGATAATCAGACTCAGCAATTCATTAATGATTTAGTTAGTATTGTTAATGATTACCAATTTCATGGAGTAAGTCTAATTATTATTTTACATTATTCAATAGTTGTTACGGTTAATTAATTAATTAATTAATTAATTTCAATTGACTTATAGATTGACATTTATTACCCTGATACGTCTTCATCCTCATGCTCTCAAGCAACTTCTCCCATTAATCTAAATCCTGTTTTTACAAATTTCCTAATTGATCTATCAAATAAATTAAAACCGTCTAAGAATTTAACTATTACAGTAGGTCGGATTCCTACATTTGGATGGAAACCTAACCTTAACCCTTATGTTGATTTTGTAAATATTCAGGTAAGTTTTAATTTTTTTTTTTTTTCTACATAAAAATATATAAATAACTTATTTATTTTATTTGTTATCTAAAATTTTAGTTTAATCTAGGTACAGCACATGATAATTATGATATACCCACGTATGATCTTCAGACTATTCTTAATGATTGGAGTGGTACTAATATCGATAAAAAAAAATTTATTTTTGTAATCGAATTTGGTGGCATTATTGAAATTATTACTTCTATTAGTAATAATATTACAATGGATATCCTTAATCATAACTTTGCAAATTTGAATCGAAACATTACTACATTCCCAATATCTTATGAAACCATTACAGATCCATGTAATGCTTCATATGCATATTTGTCATGGGAAGCTATAAGTACAAATTTCTTATCATCACCTTGCTATACAAGTATAAATGATAGTTCACAACAACAACAATGGACCTATTCCTTTAATAATATTACCAAACAGTCATTCATTTACAAACCAGTACCACCAAACGTCATACAAAACCCCATCTCAAACAACAAATCCTCCTCTAAACCACATAACTCTCCAAGCAATCCAAACAATTCAGGAAATCTACAAAAAAGTCGACGACAAAACAATCAACAATTCTATTATATCTCTTATGAAGATTTTCGATCATTATCTGCCAAATTAAACTTTGTGCAAAATAATAATATGACAGGAATTGCGATTTCCGATATCACGAAAAATTCACAATTTTTTGCAAACTTTATCTTGGGCAGTAAAAATCCAGGACCAGAAAACCCTATACCTATATCTCAGTCTAATCATATAGGCACAATAGTGGGTAGCATAATAGGTGCTTTCGTTTTTGTTAGTGTATTAGTGACTTCTGGCTTTATATTATATCGAAGAAAACACAGCGCAGGAAATGTTATAACAACTGTCGTAGCACTGTTTGATTATGTAGGGAAAGAAGAAAATGACTTAAGTTTTAAGGCAGGCGATATTATTGAAGTACTTGAGAAAGGAGATGGGCCAAATGATTGGTGGGTGGGTAAATTACATGGCATAATAGGTGAATTTCCTGGTGAGTAGGTTTATTTCTTTACACCTATTAAAGAGGCACAAGCAACATATTTAGTTTTGAGATCAAATGAATATGAAGTAATAATAACTCTTAATATCGGTTTCATTTCATTAACGAAATTAATTTTTTTTTTAATAGGTAATTACGTAAAGGAAACCAAGTCATAAATTTATTTATTAATGAATAATTTTTTTTGAAATAGACAATAGTAGTTATAACTTTAGATGTATTTATGTATTATAGTTTTTCTTATTCAAATTTTGCTAGTGGTAAACAAGGTTCTATACTTTGGTTTAAAGATATTAAGTAGAAAATTCTTGAAAACCACCTGTAAATTATGATTATTTATCATTAATGAAACTTTACTCTTTATTTTTAAATACATTTAATAATTCTATTTTATTTTGGTCGTCACTACCTTTACTAGAAACGTATACGATCTTTGGTTTGTATTATCAATTAAAACATTCCTCCCCTAAACCCTTAATTTTTAAGGCTAGGCAAATATACCACTTATGTATATTATTGTCTGCCACTTTAGCCAAAACTATATTTGTGCAGTTCGAGACACTTATAAAAATAAAATAATAACTTGTCCTTACCTACTCTTTAAATAGGAGTTTTTGCCATTAGTGTAACGCATCACAATCAGGAAAAATTACTTAACGTTAAGAAACCACCCTTCGCTCTCTAATAAAAAATTTTTAAAATTTACTATAAGAATCACTGCTAACACATCTAACAATTTATTATAAGAATCACTGCTAACATCTAACAATTTACTATAATAATCACTAACATCTAACAATTTACAGCTATTCTCAAAAAGGTGAAGACACCATATCACGGAAAATCTACATGATTTTCCAGATTTTCCTGATTTCCCTTGTCTTATATAAGAAAAAAGGGAAAATCTGGGAAATTATGCAGATTTCCTGTGATATTGTGTCTTCACCTTTCTGAAAATAACTATAAACGCTAACCCTAACATAATTGAATTTTGAAAAAATTATAAGCATTAATATGTTCGTTCTTTTTTTGAGGAGACCGATTGACATTCCTACAAAAAATTTCGTTATCATAATTAATTTAGAGACTTCTAAATTCTTCAAAATGATGTGCCTTTAAAAAGTAAAAAAATCCAATAAACAGATACATTAATTGTCGTTTTTAAACTTCTGTTATATAATAAGTAAAAAACTAAATAAAATTAGATAATTTTTATATTGTAAGTTAATGTGAAATCAAATAGAGATTATATATCTATAAATAACGGTTATTTGTGTTTATTATGAATTTGTTACCCCCTAGTTATATTAAACTTTATATAAGTGTTATGTTTTTTCAGGTCCTTCCCCCTGATACGTATAACGTTATTTCTACCACAATTAGAACTTGTACCCGCCTAAAATTTATGCTCTGGTTTACTCACCAGTTATGTCAGTATTAACCAGTCACAACTCGGGTTATTTCGAATTACCAATTACGGTAAAAATATAACAATATAATATTGTGCAACACTAATTTCAGGATATATAATCGCTCATTCAATTGTTGATATTGACACAACGGAAATTTCGTTCGAAACCACCGAATAGCAAAAATTGAACGTTTCTATAAGATTTTTTCATAAGAAAAATATCCATCTTATACACATTTTTTGAGAAGGGTTCTTTTTTTTTTTATTTCGTGGATATTTTTTTATGTTTTAAATAAATCATAAAATTTATTCAATTTTTCAGAATAAAATATTTTTTATGTTTACATAAAGTATAATAAATATGAACATTCTTTCTTTATCACAACCTTATAAGTTTGTAATATTATATATATATATCTTTTTTATATTAATTGTGAATATTGAGGTTTTTAGTCAAGACTGTGGGTTGAATTCACCTCCACATCCAAAACAAATTATTGGATATTTTCCTGCTTATAAGTCTGATAATAATAATAATGTAACAGCATATCAAAATATCATCTCGTCAATTACTCATTTATACTATATTGGTATGCGAGAATTTAAAGATTTTTAATTATAATAATGGATTAAATTTAATGAATATTATTTTGTTTTAATTCTTGTAGCGTTTAGTCCAACTGATCTTATTGGTATGAAGCCATATCAAGTGTTTCAGAACCAACTCTTAACATTTAATCAAACGAAAGCTAATATTAGTGGAAACAGTAATCTTAAAGTAAATAATAAATGCTAAATATATTCAAAAAAATATTATTATTAAAAAATGACTAATTTATTATTTTATAGTTAATTCTTTCAGTCTTATTACCTGCTGATAATAATTTAATACAGTTACCTCCGTTTGCTAATGTTTTAAATGGAGGACGGTACAATTCAAACGATTCGGCTACCCAGAATTTCATAAATGATTTAGTTAAAATTGTTAATGATTACTCATTTTACGGAGTAAGTTTGTCTAGTTATTTTTTTTTTTCATTATTCTATAGTTTATTAATTATTTTCTAATTACTTGTAGATCGACATTGATTATCCTAATAAGCTTCCATGTTTTCAATTCAATAATAATATTATAGATTCTTTTTTCATACCGTTTCTAACTGATATATCAAACAAATTAAAACAGTCTAGTAAGATTTTAACAGTTACGGCAGGTCAATATCCTATAAATGGCATTAACTCTGATATAATTAGTTTTGTAAATATTCAGGTAAGATTTAACTTATTTAACAAGTGATATAACTTATATATATGTAAATATATTTTTATTATTTAAAATTTTAGGCGTTTCGTCTTAATATAAATACCACACATTTCAGTGCTGGATTAGACGACATTCAAACAATTTTTAATAATTGGAGTAATAAAATCGATAGAAACAAACTCATTTTAGGAATCGAATTGGGTGGCATTATTGAAGCTATTAAGTCTCATAGTAGTAATGTTGCTATGGACATTTTTAATCAAGACTTTACAATTTCGCGTAAAGACATTACCTTCCCATTAAGTGTTGATGAAAATATTAAAGATCCTTGTGCTTTATCACCATATGGACGTGTGTCATGGAATACTTTAAGTGCATTCTTATTACCGCCTTGTTATAAAAACATAAATACAACAAATTCACAACAGTGGAACTATAACTTTAACGGTAAATCCAATCAGCCATATATTTACCAAACAAGATCAATTTCCCAACAACCCCCCACTCCAACACCTACTGAAGACGTTTTCCCAACACCAACTGAAAACAATTTCTCAATATCAACTTCTTCGGATAACCGACAACGACCACAATCGCAACCACAACCACAGCGACAATCGCCACGATCATCACTACAACCACCGCAACCAACACAATCGCAACAAACACAATCATATTACGTCGTCTTTTATGAAGATTTTCAATCATTATCTGCCAAACTTGGCTTTATGCAAAATAATGATTTGGCAGGAATTGCGATTTCCGATATCACGAAAGATTCACAATTTGCGAACTTTATTTTGGGAAATATAACACCAAGTACTTCTACACCACCATCATCTCAGTCTAATGTGGGTGTAATAGTAGGCAGCATAATAGGTAGTGTAGTATTTGTTAGTGTATTAGTGGCTTCTGGTTTTATATTATATCGAAGAAACAGAGTAGGAAAAGGAAATGTTAAAACAACTGTTGTGGCAATGTTTGATTACGTGGGTAAAGAAGAAAATGATTTGAGTTTTAAGGCAGGCGATTTAATTGAAGTACTTGAGAGAGGAGATGGGCCTAATGATTGGTGGGTGGGTAGATTACATGGCATTATAGGTGAATTTCCTGGTGAGTTTATTTACTATTAAGGAAGCACTATATACAATAGACATAAGTTTTGAAGTCGAATGAATAATTCATATAATTTCGTTTTATTAACGAAATAAATAATATTTTTTTAGGTAACTACGTAAAGGAAATTGGTACGTAATTTTATTTGCTAAGATAAATTTTATTAAATTTAGAAATTTTCAAATATTATAAATACTATTAATACTTAAAATTTAAAAGATAACTATTGATGAATTTGTATACAATATTATAATAACAGTAATTTTCGTAGAATATGATTTTTACTAGCACGGGATTAATATATAATTGATAAAGTACTGAAAGTTTAGCTGGAATTATTGTAACTTTTAAATAGAATATTTAATTCTTTAATAAGTAAATATATGTTCGAAAGCACGTTTATATATAAAATTGAAAATTAAATATTGTAAGGAATTTTTAGTTTTAAATGCGAAATTCTAGTACTATAGTATTTCGAGAACTTTAAAAAAAATAGATCAAAGGTGGTATGTTAAGATGCTGCTAACAATTAGGAATCTCTGATAATCGTTTTAATCGTTAATCGAATTAGAATCGATTCCCATTTTTGTGTAATCGTTATAATCGTTTCTAGAAACGATTACATATTTTTGAATCGATTTTAAGCATATAATCGTTTTAATTAAGTTATTTTAATTATTTTAAAACAGGGTTGGGCAATTGGACAAGTGGGTTGTCCGATGAAATTTAAATTTCTAAAATTGTCTAACTTTTTTTTTTGAAACAAGAAACCTCTGTTCAGAGTCAAGCAAACAAAATAATTAGGACAGTAATATACTGCCAATTTTTGCTCTATATGTGTTAATAGATCAATGGACACTGGACAAATTTATATGTCCGGTGTCCGGTAAAATTCACCGGACATAGAAGGCTGCCCAACCCTGTTTTAAAAATAGTTCTTTTGTTTTTAAACTTTACGAGTCATTTAGCCTAGCCTTTAGTTTGTGTTTAGCCATCTTATTTCGCAAGTTATTGTAAATGTTTAAGATTGTTACGCTTAATTTTCTTGATGGCTACATGTTTGTTAAATATAAAGCGTATTGTTTTTTATTAAATTTTAAGCTTATAGTTTTTGAATTTGATATCTGGATATCATTCGGATTTTATCCTATTAGTATCCGGATAATGTACTGTATTATACTCTTTTTTCTTATACGTTCTAGTATATATTTGTTTCGGAATCTCAATGCTGCTAACACTACTCGGCTTATGTTTAATGCTGCCTAACACTATTTGGGCTATTCTTAATGCTGCCCAACACATGCTGCAGACGAATAGCATCCAGATATTATCCGAATGGTATAGGTACTATCTTATATTCTTACCATTAGTTAAAATCAATATCTGAATATCCAGAAATTATTTGGATATCCGGATAATTGACCCAATGGATCTAACTTCTAAAACTATAGATTAAAATAATAAATGTTAAAAACCTTGTACGGTATTCTAATACTATAAAAATCTATTATTTGTTTAAAATACTGTTCAAGAATAAAATAAGTGATAATGACATATGTAAGATTCGATTATCGATTATAAATCGATTATAAGCGATTCGATCACCGATTGAAGTTTTTAGAATCGATTCTCATCCCTACTAACAATAAGCATCCTTCGAAGCTATATAAAATTTGTCTATAAATTTTATATAATCCCAGAAGAGTGCTTTTATTAGCAAAAATCCCAAATATTATTCTACAGTAGGCCAAGCTGATAAAATTTAAAGATAACCATATTGAATTAATTAATTAATGAAGAATATTAGCTTTTTCTTTGTACATAATTTAAATTTATTTTTGAATTTATTTATGGAAATAAAATTTATGTATTAACAGTTACTTGAATCATTAATAATTAAACAATATGTTCACTATGATTTTATCTTGTAAATAATTTAAAACAAAGTATTTAAGTTTATTGATTTTATCATTAATGTTGAAGTAATAAAATATCACCTATGTTAAATTAGAGCCTATTAATAAAAGATTCCCACCAAGTAAAATTCATGTTTTGGTAACGCAAGTGAGAAACGTTAATATAAGAAAATACTACAAAAATATGTAACGTTCAACTACCTATTGTGCTAAAATTTAGCATACTTGACTTCTCTCGTAACACTTTACTGCAATATTACCGGAGATTTCTTTCGAAATATCCGAATACGTGTATGTTTATATCGGGCAGTCTTATGACTATCATGTAACCCTTTTTAACTTCGTGAAGTTTTTTTAAAAAAAGTATCGATATTAAGATTTTCTTTGAGGGTGGTTCTTTTTCTGTTCCTTGGGATAATTTTTATATTTACATAAATCATAATTTTTATATGTTTCTCGAGATACTATTTATGTCTACATATTATAATAAATATGAAAATTCTTTCTTTCTCATCACCTAATAAGTTCGTAATGCTTCTTTTATATATCTTTTTTATATTAATTGTGAATATTGAGGTTTTTAGTCAAAATTGTGAGTTACCGGTAACTCTGTCAACACCATACAATGCACCAGATAAAATTATTGGATATTATCCTGCCTATAATTTATCATTAACGCTAGGAAAAGACTTTGACATTAGCCCGTCAATTACTCACCTATATTATATTGGTATGCGAAATTTAAAGACTTTTCGATCAATTATTGATTAAATTTAAACTAATATTTTTCGGGTTAAATCCTATAGCATTTGGTCCTAATGACTTATTAAATAAT